GCACCATTTCTAAGGATATACACAAGTTTTTGTATGTTTGTGATGTTGCATCTGCATCATTGTTTTTGTTCAGGACGTATATCAAACATGGAAGTCCTGTGAAGATGATGGAATGCTACATTGCTGTTCTGACCAAAGGGATATGCCAGAGTGATGAGAACGGCTCCTTCCTTATCAAAGATTATGATGTCAGGAAGGCCTACCTGGCTGGATCCTTAAAAGGTTAGGGGTGAACTCTTAAAAAAGAACAAGCACTACATACTAACCACAGCAAGAACTGTGCAGCTAAAATAATCTAATCACATACTTTTGATACCATGGCCATTTGCTCCAATTAACTTTATGGTTGATATTTTAGAAATCCTCCAATAATGTGTCTTAATTCTGTAAAAAATATATATGTATTGTATGCAAATTGACTTAATGAGGTGCAATCTTTATTGTAGATGTTGTGTCACAATTTGGTATGGAGACTATCATCCTTTACACAGCACTAATGTTGAAAAAAAGAGTAGTGGTCTATCACCCACGGATTGAGGCGCTGCTGGAGTTCACAAGGTAACCACGGAAATGATAATTTAGTTGACATGAAATCAAAATGGACTGATGTTTACTTTCTTCATTTATATTCATGGTCTCATTGTGCATGATTCATAAATATTCATGAATCCAAACCAGAAATATGTCAGATTGAGGAATTAAAATAGCTTGCAAAAGTATGTCCTGTGTTGCTTTTAAAAATAGCAGGAGGTGTTTGTGGTTATGGTTAGTGTTGCAGTTTGTTTTTCTTATGCTCACCAAGGCTGCATATATTTGATCAAAAATACAGTATAAACTGTAACATTATGAATTATTGTTACATTTTAAAATAACTGTTTTCCATTTCAATATATTTTCAAATGTGATGTATTCCTGTAATGGCAAAGCTGAATTTTCAACAGCCTTTACTCCAGTCTTCAGTGTCACATTTTAATATCCTAATTTGGTGCTGAAAGAAAAAATATTATCATGATTGTTGAAAGCAGTTGTGCTGCTTAATATGTTTGTGGTAACATATTAACATAACATGTGGTAATTGATACATTTGTTCAGGATTCTTTGATGAATAGAAACTTAAAAAATAGATTAGAATAGGGAAAAAACTGTTTATTTCACATTTAGTTCAGTTATATTTTAAATATTTCTCACATTTCAGTTATATTTTTCAATAGGAAAAAAATTCACATTTACTTCAGTTAAATTCTTTTTCTATTCACATTCGTTATATTTTTCAATTCAGTTATAAAAATTTGTAACTATTTAAATGTCTTTATTGTCAATTTTTTTTTATCAATTTAATGCATCCTTGCTGAATAAAAGTATT